GGGACGATCGCGTGGATTCTGTGTCGGGAAATGGAGGATATTGATTCTTAGGATGACTATGATTAGTCACGTTCTTCGTGGTTTGAGGGATGTTCTCACCCCTTTAATGTGAATGAGGGTTGAATCCAGGGATCCCCTCGGTTGTCCAGAGAACTAATGTACGTTCCTAGATTATACTCACTCTGGAATGTATATAATTAGACTTTACGAATATGTTTCGAATCATTTCTCCTCAGTCTTCCGTTCATCTGGACCGCTTAATTAACTCTTCCGGCATGGTGTCACTGCAAGGGACTAACTCTGATACTGTTCTAAACGATGAATATTTCCTTTCGTCATTACTTATTACCATTTCAATTCACTTACATTTCAGTTTAGCTAGCACTGAATCAGACTGTTTAAACATTTCTCAAAGAATTATCCTCAGCTTTTTACAGTAATTGCAGAAGCAATTTAAAGTGATTGTAAAAGAAGCAATCAGGAACGGGTCCGGGTTAGACCGATGGTTCTACCGTTAAATCGCATGATCAAGATTCCACTGTATTTTCTGCACACCACCGTAGTCAAACACTGCTGACGCTTGTTTCTGACGACTCGCGACCGGCTGATCCGTCCGCCGTCATTATCCCGGACACCGAAGCGTCGACGCAGCGTCGATTCTTGTCGGCCGAGTCATCAGGGACCGTCACTCACGCGGCACAAGAGGCTCTCGATGGAAGAACAATCGGGGTATCACGATTGTTCTGTCGATACTGATTACGCCCGCCGGAAAATTAGTGTCGAGCGGATTCCAGTAACTCGAACGTGCACCCCCACTCTCTACCTCTCTCACTCTCTCTGTGTCTTTCTCACCCTCTCTCTCTCTCTTTCTCGCACACTTTGTGTCTTCTTCTCTTCGTCCGTCGCGATACACGCGCGCAATTACCAGCCCGTCCTCGTCACCCTGTTAATTAACGATTCTCCTTTGGCTAGAGGCATCGACAATGCCTTTAAACTTCCCAAGGAAATTACAGTCGCCCCGGGGGATGAACGCCCCGCGAGGCTCCGTCGTGGAAACGTGACGCTATCGTCGCGCTCACCGGGAGACAATAAGAGAATCGACTTGTCGAGGAAACTGAGGCAGCAACTTGATCCCCTCGGATCAACGTCTCGTTTAATTCGATTGAAAAATATTTCCTCGGCGTTGTTGCCTGCTGGCATTTAACCCTTTGCGCTGGAAAATATTTCTTATTAGGGATGTTCAACATTTTCTCGTGATTCACCTTTCCAGCGCGGAAGGTTAATATTAGAACTACTGAGCAATCAACCCCTTATCTCGTGACTCACTTCGTGACCGTGAGAATTCCTTCGCAGGTAATTATAAAAAGTAACATTAAATTTATAATATATTGATTATTCAGAACTTATAATTATCCGGAAGCAGAAGAAATTACACGTCTGTAGGCGTATGTTTTCTATAACAGTTTACATACTCCAGAACCGTGGAACATACGAATCGATCACACCTTAAACTCTTCTAACTTACTCAATACCATAATCTAAGTGATTAATCATAGTCACAATCAATCATAATTCATCCATTTAACTGAAATTCCTTAAATGAGAATATCCTTACGGCTGGTTCGGGCGCATTGAAAACAATAGAACGGAAGTTGCGGTCGGCAGCACGGTAACCGCGCTCGGTGTCGCGGTATAATTAGAACAGCGTGTTACGAGGCAGCAAAATAAAAAAGAGCATAAGCAAAAAGACAGGGAAATAAGGTGAAAACGGAAGAAGAAAAGGAAGAAGACACGTCCGCGTTACCTTCGTCGCTGTGATCACAGTTGCAGGGGTGCACAGGGTTATCCCACCCGAGGACAGAAGTGAAGCCGCCGCGATGGGGGTCTACGTGTTAGGGGTGGCCGGCGTGATCGTGTTTTATCTGGCAGTGCTGGGCGTCGGGATCTGGGCGGCCACCGTCAAGAAGAAAAAGGCAAGACAAGGCCAGGATGCCATGCTACTGGCGAATCGCGGCCTCGGCCCGGTTCTTGGTATCTTCACCCTAATTGGTGAGTCAAACAGCAACCCCCATTACGTCTTCCGCGCCTCCTTTCATCTATTTTTAGCCTAGCCGCTTCTCCCAATTATGATGACGGGGTGAGCTACTATGATTTTATGGAAACCAACCGGGACTCCCGAAATATTAAGTCTACCGGAAATTTTCTTTCCAAAGACGGAGTCGTTCTGCAGAAATGGAATCTATAAATTACCGTCACGCTGGGAAGGGATCAGTAACGATGGACATTATATTGTTTAGTAAATATCAATTAATGTATTGGAAATGTATTGTTTCCTTTTCATTCAGAAACGGACGGGAACTTTCCGGTAGAACTAATATATTCTATTAACCTGCATTATGATCTCTTTCGCAACTGGACAGAACTATTTCGCTGTACATAATTCGTTAGAGACCTTTTTCATGTATCTGCAACATCTTTAGTGTTTCATTTTGAAATGTAGTTAATTAATATAAAGCAATACCAGTAATTTTCACTAATTGCATTGAAAATTGGAGAAAATAGAATAGAATACAGTGATAGACGTAAATGAAATGGATGTCGAGTCACTCGACAAAGGAACGCAAAATGAATGTAAAAATATTGAATGTGCAAATGCATGTGTCACTCGTGTAAATGTATTTTATTCACTGCAATGTTCTTTGGAGGCACATTTCAGTTTCATTTTATGCACTCGTGTAGTGACTCGTTTCGTTAATTTCACTTTAACTCCGACGTGATTTCGTTGAGAACCTGTGAATGTAATTGTTGCTCGAATGAATAACGCGGGGAATGGATTGTGCGTTGACAATTTTATTTTAATAACTTCGTCTCGTTACTTCGTTCATTTATTCGTATTTATTCGTGCGTGAAACATGGCACAGTGAAAACGTAACGACACGCTTCGTTTGGCTAACCCACTTTTTCGGTTTCGATTTTTCGATTCGCGACAGGCATTGTCGCGTCCCTCGACGACCGGATGGTTTACCGAGTCATAAAAGATCATCGTCCAAGTGTGACACGCGGCATTCGATGAAATTTTCAACGGGCCTCGTGGAAACGGTCCGCGCGCATTTTTCCCCGACGACCTATATTCGCGTTAACGGGGTGAAACCACCCTTGAAACTTGGAGAATCTGTTTAACTGCATCACTCGTAAAGTAATGGAGACAGAAACGAGTGTTCAGCACGGAAGTTCCGTCGCTTTGCGCGAGGAAACGAATTTCGAAATTGTAAATAGGATCTTCAGGAAATTAAAGCCGACGCCATTCTGCTCTCCCCTCGCCTTAGTCTCTCCGTAAAAATTTGAGATGGAAATTACTTAGGAAATTTTAATCAACGTTGAAATCAAGGTGGACAGTTTTATTAGAATTGAAAATTTAAGATGGAAATTATTTACAACATCTTAACGAAAGAGTTTGAGGTAAAGGTAGACTTTTCTATTGAAACTTGTTAGAACTGAATAAAATAATATCTGAGACTTGTATCGCAGTTCTTGATTCTTAATTATTTTACAAAATTGCAATGAAAGAAGTTACATAAGGAACATTTGTATAAATATCAATGTTTGTGGTTATTTTCAATATAAGAAAGAATGTATATTGTTATCGATTTGGAAAGGGTAGACTTATTTTACACGAGGATTTTAATCCAACTGTCGTAATTGTTCGAGAAACGAAGGGATTCAAGCAGATAATATTGAAAAGCGAGAGGAGGTTATTATTGAAGAAACAAAGAGACTCGAGCGGAGGATATTGAGAAGAACAGAGAGCTTATTATTGAAAAAGTGAAGGGATTTAAGCAGAGGATATTGAAAGGAGCTGGAAAGTAAACTACTTATCAAACCCCATGAATTAAAAATCTCATTAAACGACTCGAGGTGCTCGTGGACTCTCCAATAAGAAACAAAGAAATAAAGAGATTCAACAATTATACGCTGATAATCCTTAACAAGCAAATCCAGGTTTATTTGCTGAGTTAGAAGATCTATTCTCTAGTAGAATCTCGAAATTGTATTTGGATAATCCTGGATTGGTATACTCAAGAAGGATACTTATGCAGATTAGGAAACTCTCGGTTTGAGAAAGAACATTTAGAGATTATATTCCAATAATCCTAATTACCGCAGTTAGATCTCCATTAGACTAAAACCCAGACTGAGAGGCTCGAATTATTTAAGTCGATTATGCGGAGTTCGCCTGTATTAACTGTTATAATTTATTTGTTCATCTATTCACTAACTTATTATCCTTACTTCTCATTTGCATACCTCATTTAGAGTATGTTCATTCTTCTTCAACCTCTTGATTGGATCGCTGTTAATTCTTATCTGGATTATTCATTACCGCCTCATCAACTCTTGTTTAAGGTTAATTAATTTGATCTGTAATACGTGAACCGAAATGATTGAAACTAAATAAACTAACAATAAAATTTACACAATTCTTGTATCATACGAGAACGATACGTCATCCTTCCAAAACGAAATTTTTAATTTCCAATATACAAACTAATTAATAACTTTGCCTTATAATAACGCGACTCGTTTCTCGGTTATCAATTACCATACTTCAGAGTAAACATGGACATAGAATGTACTCAGAATTTAGACGAAGTAATCGTATCTATCATAATTAATAAATAAATCGTAAGGGAACAGGTTAATTTTAATTCTTCCATTTCCACCCAGTACATCGTCATCAAATCAATCCTTCCTCATCGCTTAAAAACCTATTCAGCTGCGCAAGTTCCCACGTAAGCTGCTAAATCCCTAGAAAATCCTATTAACGGAAGCACAAGCGTCCGCTAATCGTACACCCCCGAAAAAAAGCAGCCGATAAAAACGAAAGCTCCGAGACACGCGATCGAAGCATCCGGTCGAATCCTCGATTCGCAGGGAATCGCCGCGAACGAAACAAACCGTGAATTTCAGCGATTAAGTTACGCGACCCGGTGACGAAAGGGAACGTTTCATGCTTAACGAAGAAAAATCCGTGGGAAACCGGCCTTTTTTTCTCTCCCCGGCCTCCGCCCACGGGCGTTCTCCTATTCTCGGCTCGGCGAGCGTGCACCACGCGAGCTTTTATCGGGGACAGGCAGTGGGACACCGGGGAAATCCCGCTTTGTCGCCCCGTCAATTGCATTTCTCGCTCGACCGTTCCCTACCTCACTCCTCGCCCGAACATTTTATTCCCGCTTTTTCTCTCTTTCACCTATTTCCCTTTTTCTCCGCCCTTCTTCCCGCTCTGTCCTACCCCTTTCATTTCTCACCCCCCGTGGTTCTCCGGTTTTATACGTTATACCCCGTTTACAAGGCAGCGCGCGTTCCGCCCGAACACGATTCATCTTGCGATTCATTCGCGCTCTATTTCCGCGAGCGGAGAAATCATTTTTCCCCAACCGTCCATTACCTTAATGAACGCTCGACGAAGTGGGTGGGAGGTCGGGAACCGGAGAAGGGGATGGGAGGAACGCCGCGGTCATAATTATCTACGTCTTCTGTTTAGAGCGGCACCGCGCCGCACGCCGAATGAATGGCGACCGATGCACGATGGTCGAAAGGGGTTGAACCAGAACGCTCCGTTTACCTGCGCGTTTACCCGCGGCACGGTCGGTCACCGTGTTCTTTCGCGTAACGCGATCTTGAGAAATATACCAACCGTTCATATTCCCCCCACCCCCTTTTTTTCTTGTTTTAATATCGTGGAACACGTTTCTCGCTCGCAGCTTTTCTCTCCGATCTTTTCATTGGATTAATGAAAGCGCGATGATATGGGGACGATTTCTCGTTCCCCGTTTAATTCTGTGGATGCGGGATCGTTTTCAAATAGTCGTAGTTCTTGATGTATTTGTTTGTTTATTGGTTTCTGCGGTAGTGCGCGGAATGGGAATGTTTGCTTTTGCGTTTAAATCAGTTGTGAGTATGTTTGGTGTTTTGATAATTTGGCGGTTGTGTGGATTCAGTTCTTTAGGGATTGTTATTTTGGAATGTTTGATATTGTTGAGATGTTGGTTGTTGATGTAGTGACAAAATAATATCGACAGTTTTGTTTCAAAGGAATGTTTAATAATTAATATGTTACGATGTTTGAGATCGTTCACGAGGAAGTAATTGTGTTCATTCGGTTCATTGAAATCGTAGGGACATCATTTTTAGGTATATAAATTAATTAATGGCGTTAGAATCATGTTATCTGTTCGAATCGAGTGATTACACGTCCCAGTCAAATGAACAATGGGCGAGCCCCACGTCCACCGATAATTCACGAGGCTTTTACAGATCACCGGTACCGGCGCGTGTAACATTTTCCCGCGAAAGAGCGATTATCACGCTCTGCCGATGGACTAATTGTGAAAAACCGTTCTGCTTTCCATGCGAAGCCACGTGGGTAGGCGGCGCCTACGTGAACGGGACTGCGGAAGTTATGTTCACCAGAGGACTGGCCTGGTGTCAAGTGCCCTTCGGCTACAGTCTGAGCCTGCTGTTCGGTATGTAATTATTTAATCATTAAATTAGATCAACTGCAACAAACGTTCAATTTACAAAATCTAGGTATTTCTCTTCTTGGAGTTCTCGGTATGTTTAACCACAAAATAAATGAATAGAATTAAAAATCTTGAGAAAATAGAAACAATTCTGAGGCAAAAGGGGTAATGCGCTGGCCGCCATCTTGTCGGCTAATGGCGACTGACGCCATATTAAATTGGAACAACCATTTCAAACGAACTGTAATATTCGCAATCTTATCAGCCTAGAATATTCGTAACGTAGAATATTTAATAAAACAAATGGTAATTTCACATATTACACAATAAAACAAATAATTTTGTAACCATCGTTCTTCGTATAACACGAAAAGCGAAGGTTAACCTTAAGATCGTGTTTATAAACAGGAAGACTTAGATGCTTCGAATATAAAATGATAAATAAAGCTTCAAAATACAAGCTGGTACTCAGTTCCAAGGTTGCCCATCATCGAACGCATTCGATAACGCGTATCAACGATGAGCGTAACCTTAACCCTTTAATTGCCACGCACTACGGGCGAGGGAGAGGTAACGGGCAAGGCAGGGAGATCGATGGGGAAACACGGTCACATCGGAAATTGCCAAGGCCGAGGACATCCGGCGGTTAGGTAAATTTATCCTTTGTCGAGCGAGCACCCTCTCCGCGAGACCGTGCGCGTCCTCTCCTTTTGTTTTTCCGCGGCGAGGGAAAGGGAGGCGCGACGCGTGCACGCGACAACGTCTCCGTGAAGGCTGATCGAGAGACCCGATCAATTTGAATCCGTCGCCGACGACGACGTGTCTCGAAGCAGCTGACGTAGTGTCTGGGAACGGCACCGAGGAATAATAGGATTGGGAACGAGCTGGACGGAAGTATCGTGTCAACGATTTTTATGAACAGACGGAAAGAACCGCGCCTCCCCCTTCTCTTCTTTCAGCCTACTCCGCAGAGATTCTGAAGAGAAGGCGGTAACATCTTGAAGAGAAGATACACCGAGCTTCGACGGTTTGAAACAATTTTTCGATTGCTTCGGATTTGAACCGTTTTCATGTATGTATTCGCCCTCTGAATTGCAAGAGTATTTATCAAGATTTCGAGAGTTCTATTTTAGAATGCGTTGCAGTAGATCAAGTTGTTTACTGATTTCTTAGGAGACACATCTCTTTACTAATTGCGTAGAAAGAAATATAAAATGGACCATGTTGACCCACTTAGTAGTTATCGTTAAACTTGAGTTATACGCGTATACTTCCTCTTTTTTCTTAATTAAACATTAATTCGGATCCAATTTAATGCGCGAAGCTTTGGCGTGCTAAAGGATAACGACCCGTGCAATTTTCGTCGCAATTTGATAATCGATATAGACGTTACAGCGGGAAAGGATATAAAAATGAATGTAAAAGTCGTGCGGTGATATAGGTGCATACCTAATGTATTTACGTTCGACTCGTTCGTGCTCGTCTGCAGACCGCAGGAGGGGCTAGACCAGCTGCCAAATAATTCGAAATTATTCAAATAATTGCACGATTCACGGTGTCCACTTATCCGAAAGGGATGAGGGGTGGAAGGGGGCAAACAGAAAGGTCCATGAATCATTTGATTACCACGCTCTCGCCGGAGTGCCGAGTAATTGGCATCGAGCCCTTTTGCCAGTCGCTGTCAGCCTCTGCCAAAAAGTGGCGGATGGATGTCGGCTCCTGCCCGGAGGGGCGGGAGGCTGCACGAATTCGATCGAACTTCGATTAATGAAAGTTACACACATCAGCGAGGGAGTTTGCGTTTCACTCGAAAATCGAATTAAAACTGCGATCGGACGATCGGGAACGACGATGATCCGCCTACGGACCCCTCTTCCAATCTCGCAAAGTGGACGAAGAGGCATTGCCGTTTCCATGGGACCGATCCGTTGTGGCAGTTAGGGGGTTGCATGGGGCGCACACTCGGTGAAAAAAAACGCAACGAAGTTGAACGATCTCTTTTGTGATCGCAGAAACATTCTTTTAATTCTTGGTAGAAATATCTTTCGACATCTATCCCCTTGCCTCTTGGCAACGGAGTCAGATTCGTAGCGAAGATTTCTAATACAACTTTTTATGAACGTTTAAATATTGTGATATTATTCATTGCGTGACAGTCGAGATGAAAGGTTACTCTGTAATAGAATTTACTGTCAAAAGTAAATTGAATAGACTTTATTCTATTCTAAAGAAAGAATGTTTATTATTCAACCTTCATAGTGAATTAGTTAGACTCGTAACGAAGACTTCTAACACAAATTTTTCTAGATTTTATTATTCGCTGCTATAGAATTTACTAGAAAAATAATATAAACAGAATTTATTCTAACCTTGGAACAAATAATTCTCATTATTCACCTCTTTGGCTCGTAAATTAGTTAGATACACGATAAAGATTTTCAATACGATTATTATTATTCATTGCACATGAGCAAAAACAAGAGGCCGCTACGCCACAGAATTTATCACGAAAATAAATTGAACGAGTCCATGGTGTATCGTTGGGCAACCGCAGATTTATTAAACGATGATCACGGATCACAGGTGCGGTGTTGTTCGTGCGACCTATGCGGAAAGCCGAGCACGTGACCATGCTGGATCCCTTTCAAGAGAGATACGGCGCCGGAGTCGGCGGTTTACTGTTTCTACCTGCGCTCTGTGGCGATCTGTTTTGGTGCGCGGCCGTCCTCAGGGCTCTGGGCAGCTCGTTGGCGGTGGTCGCAGGGGTTGATCCTAATTACAGCGTCTGTGCGTCTGCTCTTTTGGCAGTGGTGTAAGTAGAAATCATAGAGAAAGAACAAACCAAATATTCCGAACTCAATCTTAGAACTTATCAGTCAAAGTTCAATGAATATACTTTACTATCAATCCATCTGTATCTCAACAATTTTATTTAAATTCTTGTTTCATTCATTAAAATGAATCTTTAATTTTCTATCGAAAATTGTATTATCCGTTGTAGCGTTTAAACTGTTAATATCAACGTGAAATAAGGTAAATTTATATATTTGCTTTTATGATCTTGAACAGCTTAATTGTTTTCACAACTTTCCTATCGCAGTTTTCCAATCTTCAATTCATCTTCTCGATGCAGTCCCCTTCTTCTCAGTAGCGTTATAGTTTCGTTATCACATTATTACCCGCTGACAAATTGGATCCGACGTCTATGATATCTGTGAAGGTACACTATGTTTGGCGGATTATATTCGGTCGCATGCACGGATGCCTTGCAATTGGCCTGCATCGTAGTCGGGTTAGGGGTGGCTGCACCCTTCTCCGTTTTCCATCCAGCCGTGTCCTTCGAGAAGAACCTAGTGTCCCGTGAATGGCTGGGGGAAATTAGGAACGAGGATCTGGGGGAATGGGTAGACGGCATGCTGTTGCTGGTGTTCGGCGGAATACCGTGGCAGGTAAGAGCAAACGCGACGACAATGAATAACAGGAATGCAAACAGCTCGGTCTGAGCAATTAGCGGAAGTTTCCTATCGTTTCGCGTGGGGAATTCTTTGTATAAATAAAATATGAATTTTTAAAAGTTCTTTACATAATAAAATACAATTCTTTATACAGAATTATAAGGAATTATTTTACAAAAATTTCGTATAAAGAGCTTCTTCAATTTATGTAAAAAATGTTTCGTCTGAAAAATTGTTAAGGTCTTCATTTGATATTTATTAACAAGTCCTTCAGATTTTTGCAATCTAAACGAATCATTCTTTTCTTATCGTTACGGAAAATGTTAAAGGTTCGCTCATACTTTTAATATTGTTTCAGGGGTACTTCCAACGAATCTTGAGCATGAGAAGCACCGCAATGGCGACGACGCTGTCGATAGCGTCAATGTTCGGCTGCATGATACTGGCATTCCCATCGGCGTTAATTGGTGTGGTGGCACGTGCTACGGACTGGTCTTTGGTCGACGGTTTCAACAAAAGTTGGGTGGCACACGATGGGAACGCGGCGTTGCCGATGGTCCTGCGCTACTTAACGCCGCAATGGGTCTCCTTCGTGGGTGAGTGTGAGCTCTTAGAATAATTAGCCGTTTCAAATACTTAATATCGATGTCATTGAAGTCGTGAACATTCCTTCACGAAAAATCATTCGATAAATGATTAAATAACTAAATACTAAATAAGCAGCGTTCAGTTTCTATAAATGTAGTCGTATAATTACTCTAAAACGTCCAAAATGGACCGCTTTTAGTGATCAATACTTCTAAGGTCAATACATGCTGATTCGAATAGACCAGAAGTATAAAATCGTGCTACACTGGTTTATAAATAGTGTATTTAATCCGAAAGAGAGATAATATTGATTTCAAATACGAACCGAAAGCAACGGGTTTAACAAGATATTTAAGAACCACTCGAGAATGTTCTATTTCTTCGCGACACCTATACTTTGCAATCGATTACCAGGATTGGGAGCGATCTCGGCTGCGGTGATGTCGTCAGCGGATTCCGGCATATTGGCTAGCAGTTCGATGTTCGCCAGGAACGTTTACAGACTGACTCTCAGACCGAAGGTAAGCGCCCAGAAAAACGATTGAAAGAACCATTGAAGGAGCTATAAGTTAAAGACATCCCCCATTATACGGAAGCTTCCTTTTATCATTTTACATAGACATTGAAGTTTCAGTTATTTACAAACTTAAATTTAATTCAGCAGGAAATTAATTTCCTAAATGCAGTAGAATAACAGAAGAAGAAAATAAAGGATTCTTTTGAATCGTGCTGCAGTCTAAAAGGCAAATTAAGTTTACAGCCTACAGTGTACAGTCTGTTCCTTAGTACCCTTATTGCTACCATTCTACATTCCATTTCAATTTAAAATTTCTGTTGAAAATTTCATTCGGCTAGGAATTCATTTACTAAGTGCATAAGGATAATTAAAGAAGAGAAGAAAAGATTGTTTTGAGTCATGCAGCAGTCTACAGTCTGTTCTGTAGTACCCTTGTTGCTGCCATTCTGGATTCCGTATCAATTTTAAGTTACTGTTCGAAATTTAATTCGGTTTTTGTTAAGAATTGGTAATATAATGACACAATAGGATACGATAAATGGCTTCTCTATGTCTCTTTCCATCAACGTGGTTCCAGGCTTCCGAAAGAGAACTGAACTGGATACTCAGGATTGCCATGGTCGTGATCACTGTACTGTCTACCGCAATCGCGCTCACGGTGGACAGCGTTTATTATCTGTCGTGAGTACAAAACCATTTTAATCAGCTCTTTTGACTGGTCCTATCTCGATGCTCGACGGCAACAAAACAGAGGGATGGAGATGTAATTCAACCGGATATATTTCTCGTTCAAGGTACTTGTGCTCCGATCTTGTTTACGTGGTACTGTTCCCCCAATTGTTGACGGTCGTCCATTGGCCCTCTTTGGTGGACACTTACGGATGCCTGGCGGGTTACTTCGTCGCTGTTGTATTGCGTCTTTGTGGTGAGCAATTTGTAACGTCTATTGAAAATATTCAAAAAGAAATTCTTTGTCTCCTTCAACGTCGTTTAATCGTAAGGAGATAAGAATATCACTACACGGAGTATTGAAAAGAATCGTTAAATTAGCACTAACATAATCATTAACAGAAAAATATATTAAAATTTTCGATGAACATAACTGACATATTGAAATAATTGCAACTAAGGAAATTTTACTTTACATAAAGAATCACTGAAACAATAAATATTCGACGATCTACAGGCTGACAGATATCTAACGGTAAAACACTAGAACTACCGAGCAGTCAAATTGACTTTTTCAAATTTTTCTGTAATAACTCTAAGGATGGATCTATTGAAATTTCAATTGATTTGCAGTTCAATTAGCATGTTAATAAATCAGTTTCCTTGATAATTTCTCAGAGAAGCTACTTTAGTTACGTTTCCAACAATTGCAAAATAAACATCCAGAAGTGGTTAATTTTCACTTATCGAATACTTCTAGCGTTAAATACTCTGTTTAATCTTCAGTTGAATCCGCGCGTTCATTGACGTTCCGCTCGCGTATTTAGGCGGCGAGAAGGGTTTAGGAGTGCCGGCACTGATCGAGTACCCGTTCTACGACACGGAAACGCAGACACAGAAGTTTCCGTTCCGGACCGGCGCCATGTTGGCAGCCCTCTTCACCCAGCTCATCACGAGCTTCTTCACTAGAAATCTCCTCGGGAAGGGCTATTTCCCGCGCTGCTGCGACGTGCTCAGCGTTTACTCGCCCGGGAAATCGAAGGACCAGTCGGGGGTGGTGCAAAGCAGCTCCGGCGCCGCTTTAATGGACACTTCTTCCGTTAATGTGAGCCGTTTTAAACAAAACGTTCCACGGCCCGAGTGGGCGTGCGCGTTGCATATTCATGAAACCGTCTTGAATATGTCGGTAAATATTGATGGATCGGCGACAGAAGTGTTCGAGGATGTTTCCTTTTCTTTCGCGAGCAACCCAGCCTCATGCATAATTCCCGCAACCTTTTTTATCGAGCCGATCGAAACGATACCGGTGATTCCTTGTATTCCAATAAAACGAGAATAAATGGAAAATAGTAGAATAATATCTCTTAGAGTCGGAAAGAATTAAGTTTGAACATTTTCTTACGTTCTCTAGTTGTCGTTGAACGCGAAAGAACTTCTTTCGAGATCATATCGACATATTAACCGACTACCAATCACTATATTCGCAGTTCTTCAACACTAGGTGTACGGAACGCGTCAAGTCGACGCACATTGAATATCGTAAACGTTATTAGGTAAAAATTTACGTCAATTTTGATGGATGCAATTACACGAACATATATATATATATATTTCAATTGTTAATTCTTAAATCTCTAATTAAGATCCAAGTGAACGTACATTTTCCTATGAACGATAGAATAAACCGTACACCAGATGTTCATAAAGTCATTGTTAAACGTATCATTCAAAATATGAATTAATCAAATATCAATCGTCTTCACTTATCCTCAGAAATCGACGTCAGGGATGGACTCCTGCGACGGAATAGGAACCGGAAGCTACGATGACGACAGAACAACCACGAACTCCGTAGAGGACATGACCGACCGCGACAATAGCACTCTAGGCGGTGACCCTTACGAAAAGGAGACACCAAAGATCAACAACATGGGCGTCGCCGTGCAAAAAGCAAACCAGAGTCTTCAGCACCTGCAGACTCTAAGGAACTCGATCCACCCCAGACCTATCCCAACCCCAACTCACTACACCCCAATACAACCGAACGACGTGTCCAGAGGCCAAATTTTAGGCGTGAGGAACCTGCGTGGCTCGATCGGCCAGATGCTACCCGTGATTTCAACTGGCAACACCGTAGGTTTAACCACGGTTCCAATGAACTGCACGATGCCCGCGCCCATGACACCTGGCCCCCATTACACCAGGATAACCGACACGTCATTGGGGAACGACAAGATCAGAGAGAACGAGAGGATCAGCATCGTGGAGAGGAGTAACGCTGAGATTCAGAACACTCCGGACAGCATGCTGACCACCATAGGGATGAAAAAGAACGTGAAGGGAGTGAAGCTGGTTGGTATGGAGGGTGGTACTCTGAGAAGACCATCGTTGCAGGTGAGCGAGCAGGATGTCACTGCTTTGTAGCCAAGCAAAGAGATGGGGAACATTTGGTTTGAGGAGTCTAAGTTTTGGGTTCAGCGGACTGCGGGCAATATGAAATTCTTTGTTACAGCCTTAGGGGATTATTGTTATACGTTCACTTCAGAATATTTCATTTGTAATAGATTTTGATTTGATCGAGCCACTTCTTGCCCATCTCTGAGAATGAATAACGTTCTTTGTTACTTGTTTATGTTTGTACCTTTGTTGATTTGATTTCCGTCATTGTTTTATTAAACCATTTGAGACAAAGTTTTG